TTCGCACAGTGAACAATGTTGTTCCCAGACTCGCCTAGCAAAGAATCCTTCGCACAACGAAGAAACTCGCCCCAGACTCGCCTAACGAACATGCCAGCGAACGTAGCAGAGTTTCGTGAATGTTGATTGCGTGCAACGATGCCTTGATGTTTGATTCTGTGATTTCTGTGATGAATTAGCATGCGTATAACTGGGAATTCCATGTGATTAATATGCGATAATATGATGATTACCATGAGTATAATTATGAATTCTATGTGATTAATATGTGATAATATGATGAATTAACATGAGTATGACTGTGAATTTTATGTGATGTGTATATGATGATGATGATTTTGATGATGATGATTATTATGATGAGCTACGATGACATGATGTATGATGATCATTATTATGATGAGCTACGATGACATGATGTATGATGATGATTATTATGATGAGCTATGATGACATGATATATGATGGTGATTATTATGATGAGCTATGCTGATATGATTTTGATGATGATGATTATGATGAATGGTAATGCACCTATGATGTTATTATGAGGATGATTTGTGACGTGTGCATCATGCATTCATATGCATCCGGACTTCGGTTTAGGACCTTGATTTCTATGGCTTCAATCCCATTGTGCGGATGTGAGGTATTTTGATGTGCTCCGATTCTCTAGTAGGATCGATCCTATTGATGGGGATTTATGGAGGGTTGATGGCCCAGTGTCCATCGAGCTGTGATGATTGGTACCACATGCATTGAGTCTTGTTGCATTTGCATTTATGGGATGATCGTGAGTAAATTGTGATGTTGTGGCCTTTGATGCATATTGACGAATATGATGATGTTGAATATGGAAATGACGCCATTTTATATGTTGATTTTCTACATTGATTATTATGAATCGTTTTACTCACCCTGCCTGTTTGAATATTACCTCCACGTGGGTAACGTGCAGATGACCAGGTTTAGCTGTGGATGTCATTGAGGACTTTTGAAGTTTTACGTCGTTGTCCTTTTGGTTAACTTAGAGGGTCTTGATCTGATAGTGCAACATCAGGTTGGGGTCTTTGATTTGAACTATGTTTTATTTGAGTTATTTTGATTATCTTTCCGTATAAGGAAAACCTTGGATTATGCCTTTGAGTTTCGCTGCCTTTGTGAAATTTTTTATGTTTATTTGGGAAAACCCGTTGTTTACGGAGCCTTGACTTATTTGAGCTTTGAGAAATGTACGCCCTTTTAAGGTGGCTTTTATTGAATTTAATAATTTACTATGATATCTGTGTTATTTTGCCATAATACTTGTGGGGTAGAAAAGGGTGTTACACCAGACGTAGATGTGTTTGCACCGAACTGGGTTAACAATTGCTTGTGTCTATTTACTATTGTTAACAGCCTTTTTATCTTGTTCATATATTAGTGATTGTTCAGATATTAGTGTTATGACATCTCCTTCGACATCTCATATCTGATACCAGAATTTCAAATAGTATCAGTTATTACATATCCAAATCAAGGACACCCCCTAGCATTGGAGGGTTTAGCTACTCATAATGTTTGATACAAAGAAAATACAAGATATAAACATTACAGTTACTAGGATGAGAGTGGATCTTCAATCGCTTCCGATCATTAAAATATTCCTTTCACTGAAGCTTTTGGCTTCTCCAATTTTTCTCTGTAAAACTTTTATCGTTCCAAGAATAAGTTTTTTCCAATAAAATCCAAAAACCGCTTAAATAGAAAAGATCTCAGTTTATTTTCTATTCCCCTAATGAGTCAGATTTAATTTCCAAATAAAATCATGTCTAACAATAGCTAAATCAACAATCAGTGTCAAATCTCGCCGAAAAAGGAAAGAAATAAAAATCTCCTCGCCTGCCTGCTACGAGTCGTGGCCCGTGCTACGGGTGGTCGTAGCAAGCCACTGGATGTTGGCTTGAAAACTGCATTTGGGGCGTGTCAGCTGCTACGACTCGTAGCAACTCACTGTCTCTTGTTACATTTCTTCACTTTCTAGGCACTTGCCTGCTACGGGTGGCCGTAGCAGGCCACTAGTACATGGGGAAATCCTTCCGATTTTTCACTGTTCTTTCCGGTTTTTGCTAACTTACTTCTTTACACCTGAAAAACATTAAAACAACATTACCACGCATAACATACGGTAAACCGGATTAAAATGCGAATAAAAACATGAAATAATTAACTAAAATCACGGTAAAAGCAAGCATAAAAACCACCGACCAGTTGTGTAATGCACTATTATTTCTCTATGATTCTTGAGCTACTTATTTCTCTATTATTCGCATCAACAATGTTATATGTGAATGCTTGTTAATTTCATATGTGTTGCAAATTGGATATGTTTGTGTTGGTATGTGTATGATATGTTTACAAATAACTGTCTGCTTCACCCTTTTTGATGTTGTCAAAGGGGGAGAAAGCAAAAGCAGGTCACAGAGTTCAGAAGTTTATGGATGTGCGTAGTCACAAAGTTCAAATGTTTATGGATTTGCATACAGTCAGGGGGAGAATGTCCTTTAAGTACTCGATATTTGAGAAGGTTTCGCAATGTTTTTTCATCATAAAAAATGGGGAGTATGTGGGACAAGGTTCCTTTCTTACTTTGTTTTAATGATGTCAAAACTAGGATTTTCGTACTTGTGTATTTTGGACGGTATCTCCTTGTCTAAGCGATGAATACATATTTTACAAACGTGCATCAAGATTCATATACATGTATTCAGACATTTAGGATCATAAACTATGTGAAAAATGAGTTTTGAGTCATTTTTGATGCAGTAGGTCGACTCACATAGGGTATAAGTTGACTTACAATCAAGAAAAATGGTGTTTGTGACTTTTTGGAATGCTTGTGTCGACCCAGGACTACTACAGGTCGATGCACACTGAAATGAAAAAGTCTGAAAAAGTCTCTGCCATGTATGCGTCGACGCATGACTCCCTTGTAGACTGTAAAAAACAAAGTTGAAGTTTTCTGGCATGGGTGTGTTGACGCATGACCTTGCTATAGGTTGACATACAAACTACTTTTGTGTGTAGTTTTGTATTCTTTCATGTTCTGGTTGACTCACAGCTTCTGTAAGTTGACCTCTTGCGCGTATTCACTCCTTTTTCTGTATCTTTGTGTTCCCAAACTCAGTTTTTTCTGTTACTAATTCATGCATATATATATTCTTATATGCATCATTTTCAAACTAACAAGAAAATTGAAAGATACATTGCTTTGCTCTTCATCTTTACTCTCACAATTGCATTCTTCAATAATCACACATAATCATCTTTATTGATTTGTGCTTTGTCAAGAGTGATAACGTCCAAACGTAGGATTTGTAAATCTAGTTTGGGTAGAGATTCAGTGGGATTTTCTTGAATAAAATCATTGAGGTTTTGTCCTTCAAGATCTTGAGGGATTTGGGGGTTTTCGCACAAATATTTGCATTACATATTCAGCCGAGTGAAAGACTTGAAGAATGGTGGGTTCGGTCAAGTGAGTAACGGTACCAGAGGATTGTCTTGAAAGATTTGGGGTCAAACAACTTGCAATCAAAATCAGCCAAGTGAAATACTTGAAGAATGGAAGGTTCAGTCAAGTGAGTAGCGGTAACCGGAGGTTTGCTCAAAGTGTTTGATGCACTTGATTCGACTGGAATCAATGGGAGAAAAGTGGTTAGAGTCAATTTCAACAATTGGGTTAGATTGTTGGTTAGCTAGGACTTCTCTTGAAATTGAACTTTACAACAGATATTATGCATATCTCAATTCTAGTTTTAGAATTGGGGACAGACGTACCCGAAGCGAGGACGAAATGGGAACTGCCTAAATAAATCGAGTGTCTAGGGATGGGAAAAATATTCGTACCCGCGGATATGGGGCAGGTAGCATAATGAATATCCACGGATAAAATAAATGAATATTTTAATACCCGCTTGTTAATGGATATGGATATGGGTTTAATGATATACATACCCGTGGATATCCATATCCGTTTATAAATTATAAAAATTATTTAAATATCATTAGTTTATTATACCTTATCTTTTCATCTTCTAAAAATAATTAGTCTTCTTATACTTCTTTCTTTCTTTCTTTCTTTTTTTGAAATTTTCTTTGAAGAAAACCTTTCACTTTTCATTCAAATTCTATTAGTCATTTCATATTTAAACTCTTCGATACTTCATACCTCACTTCATCAATTTCACAGTTCAACCAACTAATATCGTCATTTCCCTGTCGAACCAATGTCTCCCTTGCTACTCCTCTGTCGTCTGATCGTCCATCATTCCTCTGTCGAACCTTTTGTATGGATGTTATGTGATAATAAATTTGTGTCTTTAAAAGAAGTTAAAAATATTTTTTTTTAAATATTATCTATGAATATCTGTAAATATTTGTGAATACCGTAAAATCTACAAATTACCCGTTTAATGGATATCTGCATGAATATGAGACGGATATGGATATCATATTTATTTTCGGGACGGATACGGATATCATAGTATCTGTCCCCATGGATATTCATTTACATCCCTACGAGTGTCGTTCTCTCTCTCTCTCTAGCTCTTTGCATTGAAGTTTGTGTGCGATCAACTGTTGAAAATATTTCGATTGATTTATAGTGTTAAAAACTGTTGTGAAAAACCATTGCAATCACTTTAATTGCAAGTGTGAAAAATTATGCACTACAAATCAAAGAAAATTTGACTTGGTGTGTTTCGCACGCCAAATATTTGATATATTGATAACACACAAATTGTTTGACATATTGTCAATTCACTTCTATCTACTATTAAACATTAGAAATTGGTTCAACATTAGAAATTGGTTCACAAGTTTTCATACGTAAATGACCTTTGAGTTTCAAAAATAACTCCATGTATTTAACAAAACGATTTTTTTTAAAATCCATGTTGACTTCATCTTGATAACCTAAAAGGATCAAAGAATCTAATTTTTCAAAAGTTGTAATACATGTCTCAAACATTATGTGAATATAATGAATAATTTTCATGATCTAGAATATTTTGTACATGAGACACCAACTGGGAATTGGGACCATAACATATACAAGCCAATAATCCCCCATATGTTAAGCAGTGTCCACCAAGCTGAAAAATATATGCTACTGTCTGATCATTGTAAGCTTGTTCATTGCGATCACCAATGCTATTCACAGACTCATGCGTGTCATTTTCGATATCATGAGCTGCAACATCCACTGAATTTTTGGTAGACATTAGCCAACTGAAATTAATAGGATCTTTACACGATTTCAGAAAATCGCAACCATGGGCAAGGAAACTCCAAACTTCATGAGTAATATCTGAGACACAACGAATAAACTCATTGGATACATTCTCGAAATCTTCACTTTTGATTTGACCATTTAACATACAGGCTCTAAATCTCTTCAATAATGAACACTTAGAGCATTCAAATTTTGCGTCAAAATTAACAAACCTACTCCATCCTGAACTTGTTGTAAGTTTTAACAAAGATTCTCCAGCTCCTAACCAAAAATTAGCAACTGATGCAATAAGTGATGATTCAGAATTGAAGAGATGGTGAACTCCACCTGCCAGTAACAAAAAATATGCGGCACTAGTCCTGCTCATATCAAAAGCTTCCGTTTGGTTGAGATCTATTTCAGAATCATCCGATAATAAATCACTAGCGCGGACTTTATATGCTGAAGTTAGTGTTGTATAGGAATTTAGAGAGAGGTGATGAAGGGGATGCAGTGTGAATTTAGAATGTGATTTTCTTTCATTTGTTTCTAGCTGCTCGTCCAGACCTTGAATAAGAATCTTCTCAAGCTTCTCACAACAAGACACAGAATTACCGACTGAAAGGTACTCTGATATAACATCTTCAATCGAATCAGTCAATCTTCTATCTGCCATGTCTCTGAAGAGCTTGTAATCGGAATGCAGACCAGATGAATCTCGACAGAAAACAGATATTTCCTGAATTTATATGGTTCCTAGTCAGTCATGAGTATTTATCAGAAAATTGATATTACAAAGAGCTAATCTAACAGCATAATTAAGAAGTCTAACTTGCAAGGCATGATCCACATATGCGAAGGGCAGAAAACTACATCGTTTGCAGCAACAACTAAACCGATACTTTGACCATAGTTCTGATTGTCTCAATGCCTGAAAAAACCAAATACAAATTAGCACTAGAAAATTAATAATCAATCAATAAACAAGTGAAAGAACTCAATGAAGAGCTGAGAAAAAGAAAGAAAAAAAATTCTGACACAGAAACTCCAGTGAGAAAAGAGTACAATGTATTCTAACTTCCGACAAATCCCTAAGTTCATATTTTGCCAGGCAGAGCATGTGATGATTACAGTGATTAATAGAACATAGAAGGAATAAAACGAGAAAAGAATGTAAAGGGGAAATGTTGAAACATTTCTTATTTAATACTATTTATTTTCTTATTTAAGTGTCATTATATTACTCCTAAAATAAAGAAGTTAATTTTGTATTTTCTCTCTTATAAAAGGAACCCTTTTTTCTTCATAATAATATAACAGAATTATCACCAATATGTTTTTCTGCATGGTATCAAGAGCTGTGTTAGGGTCAGGGTGATACTGTAAAGCTTTCCCTAATTAGTGGGGTTCAGGGCATCGACCCGAAAAAAAATTTCTGACGACCTGTTGATCAAAACTATGGTGGACCCTATCCAAATACCACCTTCTCCCGGAGGAGGTCGTGGAGGCGGCGGCACCAGCAACAGGAGCAAAGATCTCTGAGTAATCTATGTCATATGACCAGTGAATCCAGTTTATTTTCTTCATATAAACCATGTGCAGGAAATTCCAAAATTAAAATAGTTGATGGCTCTCTTTCAGCCGTGGCAGAAAAAGGTTCTATTGTTTTGTCTCCCTTACTAACCATCTAAGATGTGTTACATGTCCCAAATTTGTCTTGCAACTCTTATTATCTGTCAGTAAGCTAACCACAAATAAAAACTGTCAAGCTCATTTTTTTATACTCATTCTGTATATCAGAACTTAATCTCGGGGAGGGTGATTGGCACTACTGAGGAAAGCAGTGGACTCTACTACTTGGAAGATGAACCAAAAACCAGACATCAATTTGGACAAATAAGTTTTTCTTCTGTTAAATCTTTTTTTTGTTTGAAATAATAAGGATGACATTATGTTGTGGCATTTAAGGTTAGGCCACCCTAGTTTTAAGTATTTAAGTTCATTGTTTCCTAAACTTTTTGTTGAACAAGACATTTCTTCACTTCAATGTGAAGTTTGTGAGTTTGCTAAACATCATCGAAGTTCTTTTCCAATTCAATCTTATAAATCTTCAAAATCTTTTTCAATGATTCATACTGATGTTTGGGGGCCTAATCGAACAAGTACTTTATCCAACAAAAAATGGTTTATCACTTTCACATATGATCATACTAGACTTTGTTGGGTATATTTGTTGAAAGAAAAACCCGAGGTAGGTCAAATAATTCAAAACTGTTGTAAACTAGTGCAAACACAGTTTAACACCCAAATACAAGTGTTTAGAACTAACAATGGTACTGAATTTTTTAATAAAATTGTTGGAAATTTTTTCCTTAAAAATGGAATTGTGCATCAAAGTTCATGTGTTAACTCACCCCAACAAAATGGAATTGCAGAGAGGAAAAACCGGCACCTTCTTGAAGTTGCACGAGCACTACTCTTCTCTACCAATGTCCCTAAATATTTATGGGGTGAAGCTGTCTTGACAGCTGCACATTTAATAAACCGTATGTCATCCTATGTTTTGAAATTTCAAACTCCGTTGCGAAGTTTCTTGAAATATTTTCCAATTGCTTCCGTTCTATCTGATTTACCACTTAAAATGTTTGGATGCACAACTTTTGTTCACGAATACAAGCATCTTGGTAAACTTGAACCCCGTGCAATCAAATGTGTTTTTATTGGGTATTCATCTTCTCAAAAAGGTTATAAATGTTTTGATCCTAATACAAAGAAAATATTTGTAACAACGGATGTTACTTTTTTTGAAAACAAACATTTTTTTGGTAATGATCATCTTAGGGGGGAAAACAAATGAAGATTCTCCTGAATTGTTTGAAAACTTAATTATCTCAGAAGATGTGTATATATCACATAATTTGGTTCCATGTACATCTGCACCTAAAGAAAATGCTTTGAAAAAATTAGATGAACCTACTCCTTCCATGAGTAAGGATCAATCAGAATCCGAGGCAACAAATCAAAACAAAGATCAAACAAATGTTTTTTCTAAAATGAATCAAAATGCACTAGAAGAAAATCCAATTTGGAAAGGCAAAATTTATGCCAGAAGAAACAATGATCAAGTGGTAAAAGACCCTATTCCTCAGCCCAGCCAAGAATCTGAACCGAGTGAAACTCAACCGACTCAGACAGGTAAATCTCTCCTTGATCTTAATTCTCTATATGCCGACCTTGATGTCCCTATAGAACTTAGGAAACAATATACTGATCTTAATGTTTCCATAGCCTTTAGGAAGCCAGGTAGGCCATGTACTAGGCACCCCTTGTCTAACTTTGTATCATATTCAAACTTGTCTCCCTCTTTTGCTGCATTTACTTCTAATCTATCTAGTGTCAAAATTCCTAAGAATGTACAGGAGACTCTAGAAATTCCAAAGTGGAAGGAAGCTGTTTTTGAGGAGATTAAAGCTCTTGAAAAGAATAAAACTTGGAGTGCCACAACTCTGCCGGCAGGTAAAAGAACTGTGGGATGTAAGTGGGTGTTCACAATAAAGTACAATTCTGATGGATCAATCGAAAGGTACAAAGCTCGATTGGTTGCAAAAGGATTCACTCAAACCTATGGCATAGATTACTCAGAGACCTTTGCTCCTGTTGCAAAGCTTAACACAATCAGAATACTCCTATTCCTTGCTGCTAACTTAGACTGGCCTCTCCATCAGCTAGATGTCAAAAATGTCTTTCTCAATGGTGATTTAGAAGAAGAAGTATATATGGATTGTCCTCCAGGTTTTGAAGAAACCTTTGGGTCATAGGTGTGTAAACTAAAGAAGTCCTTGTATGGGTTGAAACAATCTCCGAGAGCTTGGTTTGAAAAGTTTACTCAGTCTGTGAAGAAACAGGAATATACTCAAGGACAAGCAGATCATACTTTATTCACAAAGTCAGGTCAAAATGGAATGATAACTGTTTTGATAGTCTACGTTGATGATATTATTCTTACAGGTAATGATGAGATAGAAATGGAGAGATTAAAAAGAAACTTAGCAGCAGATTTTGAAATCAAAGACTTGGGTCCCCTCAAGTATTTCCTTGGCATGGAAGTAGCAAGGTCAAAGAAAGAAATTGTTGTTTCTCAGAGAAAATATGTTCTTGATCTCCTACAAGAGACAGGTATGAGTGGTTGTAAGCCTGCTGACACACCGATGGACCAAAGTGTCAAACTTTGGGAGAAAGGGGACACACCAGTTGACACTGGAAGATATCAGAGGTTGGTTGAAAAATTAATATATTTGGCTCATACTCGTCCTGACATTGCTTCCTCTGTTAGTGTTGTGAGTCAATTCACGCATGCACCATATGAAGAACACCTTGAAGTTGTGAATAGAATCTTGAGATACTTAAAAGCAACTCTTGAAAAAGGGTTATTCTTCAAAAAGACCAATGATAAAAATGTGGCAATATTCACTGATGCAGATTGGGCAGGGTCCATTATTGATAGAAAATCAACTTCAGGTTATTGCACATATGTGTGGGGGAACTTAGTGACTTGGAGAAGCAAATAACAAGGAGTAGTTGCAAGAAGTAGTGCTGAAGCTGAGTTTAGAGCAATGGCCCAAGGAATTTGTGAAGGTATGTGGATTCTCAGAGTCCTAAAAGAACTGAAGATAGAGGTAGAACTCTCATTGAAATTGTAGTGTGACAACAAGGCAGCTATAAGCATAGCTCATAATCCAGTTCAACATGATCGTACTAAACATATCGAGATCGATCGTCATTTCATCAAAGAAAAGATAGACTCTGGTACTCTCTACTTGCCAATTATCCCTTCCAATCAACAGACCACTGATATATTGACCAAAAGCTTGGGAAGATTAACATTTGAATACTTGATCAGCAAGTTGGGCATGATTGACATCTATGCACCAACTTGAAGGAGGGTGTTGAAATATTTCTTATTTAATACTAATATTTCTTATTTAATACTATTTATTTTCTTGTTTAAGTGTCATTATATTACTCCTAAAATAAAGGAGTTAATTTTGTATTTTCTCTCCTATAAAAGGAGTCATTTTTTCTTCATAATAATATAACAGAATTATCACCCATATGCTTTTCTACAGGAAATGTACTATTGAAGGAAGAATAATAGCACTGAAAAACAATGGATAAAACAGAAAACTAGCTCCACAGAAAAAGTATATGATCTCTCTCTCTGCCTCCCCATACTTATCATTCTAACAGAAAAACTTGGCTACCACCCACATATATTCCTCACACTACTAACTAATTCCCAGTTAGGCACTATCTTCAGTCCCTTCCTTCTTCCGGTTTGGCCAGAGCTCGAGGAAACCCACTCACCCACCTTGAATTTCACATCTTTTCTTCTGCGGTTAGCACAATGCTTTGTGAGTTCTTGTGCCGTGAGCAACAGCATAGACTCGTGTTTCCCCCTCCTAAAAGTGAAACAAAGAAGGTGGTTCACTGCCATAAACAAGCTGAAAAGGAGCACAACCCGTAGACCCATGAATCATTGTATTATTCCATAAATCAATACATGGGAACCAATGCGACCAATCCTTCAGTTGCTGAGAGAGAAAAAAAAGAAACCGAAGAAGTGGACCTTGCACCACCACCCCTCATCCTGCAATTCCCTGCCTTGCAGCCATATTGGATAAGAAAACAAAGAGCTCAAACTCAAATCTTCATGCTGTCTAGCAATGCATCAGGTACCTTATTCTCCACTTCCAACTTGTACACGACCTCAAAATCTAAACCCAACAGCATTGCCACTCATACTTTCTGTTTGGGAATTGTGATTCTTTGTTGAGAAATTGTCTCAACTTTTTTTTATCAAAGTTAACAATTAACTTCCTTCTCAGAAGATAATGCCCCCAATGTTGAACAGCAAGCACAACAGCGATTAATTCTTTGTCGTAAGCAGAATTGGCCAATTTAGAGTGCAAGACTTCGTAACGATATGCCAATGGATGCTTCTGTTGCATTAGCATAGCCCCCACACCCGACCTAATGCATCATCATCGGTAAGTGGTTTAGCTATCTTACCATAGTTCATAACAAAATTTTCCGTAGTAACCTATTAGACCCAGAAATCTACATGATAGAATGGGTTGTATTGCAGGCAGGAGGCTACCCATTGATCTCATAAAAAACACCATCAAACTTAGACACCAAATGAGTTAATTCAGATTGCTGGGCCTGAGGCATCCGCAATTCCCTGCTGTATACTACATTAGCAACCCAAAACCAACATCCAACATATGGAATATCTTCTGCTACAACACAGAACTACAGACCATACAGAATCCCCTACACGCCGAGTCTCCAACCTGTATTATGAGAACTGGACCAAGAAGGAGTTGACCAGGTCAGGTTCACGACAGATTCATTTATAACTTCCATTGGCTCTTTGCTACAACCAATGGACATTGATAAACAAACAGGAAGAACATTGGGATTTACACTGTGAATGTGATACAACAAAATTAAGTGTTTCATCATGTAAGATTTAAAGCTTCCAATTGTACAACAGGAGTGCCCAAAACTCCAAGTCTAATCACATATAAGTCAAAAAACATAGTATGGATGTTTATTTATACTGCATATAAAACAAGAACATCATAAGTTGTTACCACACACCAAACTATTAGTTAAATGCATTAAATCATGAAATTAACAATAGAAATAGTTACTAAAACTTTGATCTAAACAACACAGGCTACTTCATGCATAAAAAAACTAATACTAATAACATTAATTTGACGCATTACCTTCGGCTGCAAGAGGTCAGTATATGCTACAGTAACCTCTGCCCCCTTTTTAATTCTCTTGATGCTTCTCACAATCAATCTTGGACCACAAATCATCTGCCCTTTTTCTTCATGCGAAAAATCACCACCATTTAATTAATTTTTACAAAACCAAAGAAACTAAGCATCATATGTTATACAACAGAGTCAAGTAAACCTTTAAATTAGTCCCTAAATTATCAATCTTTCTCATTGAGTCCCTAAACTATGGAATATAAAAAATACTCTCTAAATTTTTCTCAACAAATCAAGTTAATCCTTCGGTTACTTTCAAAATAGGAGAGAATTATAATTTAAGACGCTTGATGGATAGAGAATAGTTTAAGAACTACATATAACATTTCTATAATCCAGTGAGCAAATAGAATCATGGTTTTAAATTGTAGCATTGTCCTCTGCAATCACAATTGCAGCCGCAATATTGTAGATGCAGTATCCTCTGCAACCGCATTGTCCTGCAATTGCGGTGTGAATTAAAATCATGTATTTAGCAGCCATTAGAAAACTCATCAAACAATTTCATCAGTCCATGTTTCATCAAGTGTTTTCATCAAACTCAATCAGAATCCAAAACTAAATTTACTTCCTATGTAATGAACAATCTTAACCTAAAGTGTTTTTTAATTGTGTATTTCAAACACCTCTCAGTTAAAATTCGCTCCCGCAATCGTAATGCCCGCACCGCATCTGTGACGGCAATTTAAAACCATGAATAGAATAGTGACACTTAAATAGTTTAAGACCAATTTGAAAGTTTACTATTACAAAGTTCATAGCAATTCATTAACAAATATAAATCTAAGAAAAAATACAAACCTTGGGCAAACTCACCACTGCTACCAAAAATCCCACAATCTATCTGCAAAACACAATTCACACACTATCTTATTAAATAACATAAGCAAAAACGGCACAAAAGAAGAAACGAAAAAACGAAAGTTACTTTTGGTTGTTGAGAATTATGAGTGAAGGGAGCTATGCGAAGTTTCGATTCCTCCTGAGAAAGCAAAGAAGAAGAATCGAAAGAGAAACGGTAGCATGCATTGGGGGAACAACTATGATTAATCCAAGAGAAAGCATGTTCAAAAACCGCAATCCCTAACGCGCGTCCTTCGCTATCGTGCACCTCCACCGCGTTCGTTAGCACCGCACAGAGAGCATCAGTAGCTTCCTCCAAAACGGCGTCGTCGTATGATTCTATCAAGCCGTTGCCACTTCTTTGCTTTGCTATTGCGGTGGCCATTGCAAGGGCGTTGATACGGATAGTTTCGGAGAGTTCGTCGTTGTGAGACGTGAGCAAATGACGGTTGGTGAGTAAATGGTTGAGGCGAGTGGAGTGGGGAGTGCGGTGGGGTAAGAGGAGGAGGCGGAGGGCGGTGCGGAGGAGGGAGGAGGTGGTGGAGGGAGAGATGTGGTGTTCGGCGGAGGAGAGGTGAATGGAGGAATGGGAGGTGGTGCAGTGAGGAGAGCAGTAGAGTGGAGGAATGGGATTGGGAATGATGGGAGTTGTGATGAGAGAGAAACATGAGGAGCAGTGAGTGTGGAGATTGGTGTTGTGGAGAGAGAAAGAGAGTGGGGTGAGCCGTGGTGTTATGTCTGTGCTTATGTCTATATCTTCTTTGCATCTCATCTCCATTTCCATCTCCAATGGAGACAATCTCCCCTCCCTTCCACGACTCAGCCTACATATTATAATACTCCTCTTTTATACGATTTTGTCTCTAGAATTGTTTCAGAAGTGTTGTGTTTTGAGTTTTTTTGGAAGTAAAATTGACTTGGTCTCTAAAGTTGATTCTATTAAAAGATAGAATTTGCAATTTTTAAGTTTAAACGTAATTTTTTATATTTTTCCATAAATATAATCAAACATAAAGCACATCTTAGTAACATAAATAATGCCGCAAAATGGTAGAATAAGTAGGGATGACAATTTGGTCGATATTCTTTAGATATTTATAAAAATTGTTTATAATAGATAGAATAAAAATCTACAAAATGAACTTGGACATAGGCACATATAAATATTCATTAAAATAAGTGAATATGAGTGCGGGTACAAGTATCTTAATACTCAACTCGTCTTATATCCGCAACAATATATATTTATACATTATCATTTATATTATTATATAAAAATACATATCTATCAATTTTTAAAAAAAAATATCATTATAAAGTACCACACATTTTAATATAATTGTTTGTTTATTTTAAAATTCAACAATAAAATCTTTGAATTTTTTTAAATGTTGTTAAAAAAAACTTTAAAATAGTTGATATTTCATAATTGATCGATTTATTTAGACTATAAATGCGGGCAACGGGTACAGGTATGGGTACTTAGATACCCACATGGTATGGATATGGGTACAGACATTGACACCCATGCGCGTATGGGATGGGGGACGAGGATTTTTTTTAAATTGAGTATGGTGACGAGTATTGTACTACTCCGTTCAAACTCTACCCATTGTCATTCCTAATAACAAGGAACATCCAGCAAAAAGTACAACATCTTTAAATAAATCCAACAGAAACATTTCACACTAGTACAAGGAACGCCAAAACAGAAACAAGGAAAAAATGGGAGAGTAGCTCCAATAAGACTCCAATCAAATAGCACTCAGTAGTCCACAGATACCGCACAACCTCAATGTCGAAGCAAGACCAGAAAAAAAAGGATCGAGGAAGATTCGAAGATACTACAATAGCACCAAAGGATGTCCACTAAAACGAAGCTAAATCTCAATTGAAAACACAAGAGAACTTCCATAAGCAGAGCAAATACAAGTCGGTCAGCTCCTTGAACATTTGAGTTAGAAAGCTGAAACTGAGCCAAGAGCACACAGAGAGGCTGGACTACAAAGCTTTCAATTGTAAAAATTAAAAAAGATAAGCAGCAGCCAAACCAACAAGAGCAAAACGGAAAACCCTTAAGACTATCTCAGGCGCCGGGAAGGGGACTTCATAAGCATTCCAATGGATTCATAATCCATTGGCTTAAGGAAAAGATGAGGCCTTTGGATTTCGTCTATCCAAGCATTCGACCACCCATTGAAGTTTCTAAAATTCTTTTCATTACGCCTCTTTCACACAACTCAAATCCAAACAAACTAAATAACTGAGAATCTGTTATCCCTCACTCCACCCTTGCCTAGAAATCTGGTGAAATGTTCAAAATGAGTTATGGCATTGTTATGCAAAACGACTGAGATATTTAACCAAGAGAGGATTTTCTATCACACAGCGGAGAAAATTGGGCAGGCAAAGAAGATGTGAAGAGAACTTTCAGTCATTATGTAACCTGTCGAGCATCCGGATTGAGACTCACTCAAAATTCCTCTTGTAATATTGTTGTCCTTCGAAGGGAGCCTATTCTAAAAGAGTCTTCAAGCCAACACTTCTACCTTAGATGGAACCAGGTTGTTCCATGCAATGGCAAGGGACTTATGGCTTTCCAAAGTTACTCATTCTAAGATGGCGTTATATGCTTCTTTAACAGAGTATTCGTTTCTACCCCAGAGCCAAATGTTTTCACCATTTCTAACTTCAGACTTTAACTTCCTTGAGAGCCAATTGACATTAAAACCCCACAAACCATTCTCAACTTTTTAAAGGTATTTCCGCCAAATTGAATGCAGCCTACACTCTCTAATAATAATATTAAGACGCCATATTTTCTCTCTAATACGTTTTTCATTATGTATTCTCCATCCCTATTTCCCTAACAAGGTTAGGTTGAAAGCCTTCAGTTTTTTTATTTCGACAGAAATTAATTTTGTTAAACTCAATTATCTTAAAATCATTTCTACCAAATTTTGTTAATTGATTAATTAAAAACGGTCTAGACGACGTTAAGCTATTAATGAAAACTTGAAAATATAAAATTTGACCAATTTTTGGTATAATTAGTCCCTAGGTCCCTTAATTTTGAACGAAGTTTCACTTTGGTCCCCGAACTAAAAAAATTTACATAATGATCCCTTAACTTCACTTTCGTTGAACCATTTGATCCCTACCGTTAGTTTGTGTGAAAAAAATGTTAACTATTGTTGAGCTGGCATGTCAGATAAGCAGCTTTTGTGTAAAAATATTTTTTTTCTTTAAAAGACATGACCTCTTCATCCTATTTACTACGACCTCTGTATCTCCCAAAAATTAAATTGATGTTTCACCAGCACATCTTGAAAGTAGAATTCAGTGAATTACAAGATTGAAAAAAAAAGACATTGAAAGATACAATATATGATAACTAAAATCACTTCAACTAACAACATAAGAATCTCTTAAACATTAAAAAGTTTTATTTTTCAATAACCATTGATTAAAAATATGAACTTTAGTGGCACAAAAGAATTAAAAAAGTTCCATTTCAGAAAACTAACAACAAATCAACCTTTCAAATCCAATCAAGAACCTCTCTTCTAACAATCAAATCCAAGTCACCACTTCACAATCTCATCAAATAATCCTCTCTAGTCAACTGTCAAGGATTTCAGCCATGAAAGGAGCTTAGATGAGGGGTGCTAATAGAGAACATCATCAAAAGGGTGAGATTAAAAATCAAAACTTTATTGTTGGGTGGTTTTGACTAGATGAAAAAACACAAATGACATTGGTTGAACATGGAAGGAGAGTGTAGGAGTGATGAAAAGGATGAGATTTATTTAGGAAAAGGGTTTGTGGGTTTAGGGTAAAAGAAATTGAGAGAAATTAATGGGACAAAAATGATGATGGGTATCCATGGACCTTTCAGCTTCTTATTTTTTTTATTTCTAATATTTAAATTAATATAAAATTAAAAAAATTTAAGGTCAGCTTTAAATTGTTTAGCAAAATTTTAATATTTAAATCAATATAAAATAATAAAAAATTACAGGTCAACTTTAAATGGTTCAGCAAGGTTACATTTAACGTTTTTCATAAAAAATTAACGGAATGGACCAAAATATGTAACAGAATGTTAGTTAATGAACCATTACGTAAGATTTTTTAATTAAGAGACCAAAGCTAAACATTGAATAAAATTAAAGGACCAAAAGAAATATTAAACCTTAATTTTATATTTGAACCTTGGAATTTTCACTAAAATGATTGGCACTTCAATCCAACTAAACTGCATCATAAGGTTTACACTTACAATTATATTAGATATCTAATATATTATAAGTTTGACATTTAAAAAAAAATTAATATATTATAAGTTTGACATTTTATAAAAAATTAAAATATAGTCCTATTAAAATTCAAACACAAGACTTATTATAGCTTAAAAAATTAAATTAACTCAGCACCCATTACACCATAGGCACTTTTTATTTTATTTTTAATGTTAACAAATAAAAATCTAAAAACCTAACACATTCATACTTCTCACCAGTGTTTTAAAAACCGGACCGGTCATTGAACCGGTGAGGGTACTGGGTCACTGGTTTATCGGTTGAACCACTGGGTCACTGATCGAACCGCATGACTAAATCGGATTAAACCGGATAACTCGGTTGAATAGACCTGTCATTATATAGATATAAAACCGGTCGAACCGGATGATTCAGTTTCTAAACAAATATAACTAGTACTTAAATTTTTTGAAAATATCATATCATAAATTCACAAGTTCAGAATTTAAATTTAAATTTTAAACAAATGTATCACACATAACAAAATAATACAAAATTACAAAATAATTGCAACATAATCTAATTTTAAACAATTTTTTTTTAATTTTTATAACTTTTGTATTTAAATTTTAATTAAAAAATAAAAAATGCATTAGAACCGGTCCAACCTTAAACCCGGTATTTTCCGGTCCAACCCGGTTCTTTTCCGATTTTTACCGGTTTGATGACACAGACGATCGAACTAGTAAATCAGACCGGTTACTAAGCCGGTTCCCGGTCCAACCGGTCCGACCGACCGGTCCGGTCCGGTTTTTAAAACACTGCTTCTCACTACCCCAGCCGCGGGCAGCTTCTCAATGTTCTTCCTCCCTGCATTGTCAACTTTGTTCCTTCCTCATAAAGCCTCTTCGCTGGCACTGTAAATTCATCTTCGCTGGCACGCCTCGTGGCGGCGGCAGCAGCCGTTCTTGATCACGGACCTCACTTCTTTTGCTCTTCCATCTTCATAATTCTTCTCAAAGAATATGAATCAAATACAGTTCACGCAGAGCCTAAGCTATTAAGTAAAACATACAGTAAGAAGAAATGATATGGATAGAAACTTGATTCGGAGCTTAATCAAGTACGCGTTGAATTTTCGCTTCCGTCGTTTCTCTGGATCTTCTTCTTCTTTGCGATTTACAAATCATCTCTAGCTTTCGCTTTTGAATCCAATTCCTCGCTTCTTCTGTTGTTGTTGCTTGTTGTCATGTTCTTGATCAATTTTAATCAAGTTGCTGATGAAGAAAATTTTAGTGAAGGTTGATGAGAAGTGTGGAGGTGATGAAGATTAAAGATGAAGCTGATGTATGAAGAATATTGAAGCTGATTGTTTCAGAAATGGTGATGGAAATCAAAGAAGGTGAATGAAGGGAGTCCTTTCTGCAAATCTGAACTTCTCAATTTATCGTGAACTAGGGAGGATAGAATGGTATTTTCAGTGTAATTCCGTTGTGAACTTTGTTAAGAGTGAAAGAAATCC